AAGGGTGTCAGGGTCTCCATGGACATTGCATTACAGAATAAAACATTGAAAAACAACTATAAGTTGTGTAAACCGTTTTGTCACATGATGCTCAGTTTTCTAATACCTAGATATGTTCAGTCCTGGCACAGCCAAGGCACATGATGCAAATGAGGAGGGGAAATAGAAACATTGTTTCATTACTCCCCTCCTCTATATGATGTATCCATACTGATTGCAAGCACCCAGTTACAGGATAAAAAGGTTTATATCTCTACATTCTATTTTATTTGTAACGGACCATTTCAGCACACAAGGGGTTAAAACCGTTTAGGCAATCGTCCCCTTCCAGAGATGCAGGCACAGCTACTGCAGAACACCAAACTCCCGAACCGCATATAAGGGAATGCTCCAAACTCCCGAACGGCATACAATATAACACTCCAAACTCACAAACTGAAACCATACGAATAGCTGCTAGCAGACGAATAGGAAAAGCATCCAAGCGGCTTACACTCCTAGCAATCAGTCTCTATCAGCATACAGTAAATCCCCCCAAAGACGAGACAAGGCTCTGTGTTGAGGGTCAAGCAGTGGTCTGTTTAATGAGGGCTACCTGCCCAGTATTTATGCAGGTCTCCCATCTGGTGGACACTCCCCTAGGGGACTGAAACAAAGGACAGACAAGCAGCAATCCAGAACACACAGTCACATTATATTCCCACAATGCATCCTGGCTTCCTCCCCTCTGCCCTGGAGAAAATTGAGAAGTAATTCAATTATCTCCCAGGACAAAGGCAAATCGCCATTATGCACGTGGGGATACCATTACAGGAATTACTGTTAAAATACACTATGGTGGAACGGTTACAGTAAAGACATACATTTAACATATCCCCAGATAGCTCAGGTCTGAGTGCACATTATTAAGCGAATGGTGCTCAGACTACACGAATACAGTTCAATCGCCATGGAGCCAAAGTGTTCACAAAGTAAGTTCTCATACGAATGAGCTCCATGGGATTCCTATCTGGGGTATGGTGTAGTCAGGTACAACTACCGTATACAGGGCCATTCGTGCACGTCCACCAAACAAGAAGGGAGGTCGGCGGCTTCAGCGGTGTTCGTGCCAAACTGTGTCCGTTTTCAGTTCCATGAGTTAGGCGTCGAACACCGCTGTGCGTTCGCGTGTTTAAAATGGGCGCGACCTCGTGTTTGGTATACGAATGGCGGCCACCCAGTATTCGTCAATTAAGCTGCAGTTAACCACAGCTTCTGGAAGGCTAATTGCCGGCACACTCCAGCTCCCAGGTGGTCTAGTCATTCGTGCGGTTGTTCACGAATAAGTCTTTTCTGCAGGGGAAAAGAGGTCTAATACATGGGGCCATAATCCAAAGGCAGCAGGCGAGCAACCAGGCTTCTCCAATGCAAGATTGCTCTTGTCACATTATTTTTCACTAAATATTTGTTGCAAAGAGGAATAAGTAACCACAATATTAAAAGTGCTGGCAATTGTAACCTGTTGCTTGCTGTTTGGAGGACTGACAAACTACATGTGTAGCTGTTTTAGAAACTGTTTTTTGAAGATGTCAACTGTTACAAACTGCCATTTGTAACTGTTATTTTATTTGACAAATTGCCCTGCTTCCCTGTGCTATGGAGAAGCCTAATTGCCAGCCTTCTGCCCCATGACTATGGACCTAGTGTGTATGGCGATTTGACTGTATTTGTGGGATCTGAGCGCTGTTTGGATATATTGAGCGCTCAGATCCAAGCCATCTGGGGATAGGTTGAATGTGGGGGTTCTGTGCAGTATGATAGGAGTTATGCATTTTTGTGTCTTTTTGTGTCTTTTGCTAACATGTGGTTAATGGAGTCTGCCTCTATCCCTGGATAATTGGATTACTTTCCCCATTGTCCAGGATAGAGGGCTCTGTAAATCCGGTTTGGGCCAGAAAACCATGCTGCCAGCCAGGCCCCAAAAGATACTTTTGCTAACTTTTGAACCCCTTGTCTGATTTGTGCCAGTTTTTAATATGTTGCTCCCCTGAATGGATTGATTCTAAATATGTATTTTTATGAAGATTGGATGTGTAGTTTGGAAGTTATAGTACATGGATAAAAACTGTATTTTTACTGCCTGTGTTTAATTATGTTAACCCATTGTGCAACATAATTAGATCACAGGCAGAGGGGAGGAGTTTTGTGTGTAATTGCTGGGAGTGTTTCTGTAATGTACATTTATTATTGGTTGTTTTATACCTCCCTGTGGGCGGTCCTGTATTTGCAAGACTGTAATAAAAACCAGGCTGGGTGTGCCAGCACCTCAGATCTTCTTGACCCTCTAACTTGCAGCCTTGACTCATGTTTGTAGGGGACAGCTATAATCACTACAGGGATTGCTATGCTCTTCATACTCCCTTAGCTACTGAGCTCTTGTAAGAGCTCTTGTTCCTGATCCTGCTTCGCTCTGCAGAAGGAAGAGGTTCACCTACTGGAACCTGGAGCCTGGTCGTGGGTCCAGGGCACAGAGCAGACGGCGAGATACCAGCCCAGCAGCGGTGGTTCGTGGAGTCTGCAGTACTTATGGTGGCTACGCAGTAGTTATGGTGTCTACGGTGCTGATGGTCCTTTGGTGAGCGCTAGGAGCATCCTTTTCTACGGTCCAACTTCCAGCCAGCCTGGAGGCAACCGTAACATCAACTATTTATAAACATTTAATATGGATTAATCTGTAATTCAGGGCTTAGCTTTCATGCAACTTTAGCTATTTTACCCTGACGTATTAAATGATGCCAGGACACTGGATTTTATACATTGAATGGTAACTCTAACAAGACAGGATAGAGGATCAACTAACCCTGAAATGGGTCAAGTTGTTATTCACGTCTGTTAAACAATAGTGTACGAATATTGCACCTTAAGGAATAAACTTAAAGATTGTGACTGTAGAATCATTTTGATGTCAGTGAGTACAGTAATGGGACAGAAGGAGATTTAATTGACGATGGGATTTGGTTCGGGGGACAAGAAGTCCTTGCCTGAGTCTAATTAACTCTGCATCTCTGTGCCTGTCCTGCTCAGTAACGAGTAAAGAGTTTGCTCTGTCAGCACTTTTCAAGCCCTAGGTTACTAATTAACTTGCAGTAGCTTTAATATGGCTACTAATTACATGGTGACAATTTTGCATATTAATCCCGAGGCCCACATTGCCTCCTTTCAGTTCGTTCACTTTCGCAACTTTAGAGCAGAAATGATTTATGCTCTGGAACTGGCTCCTCTGCAGCCATGGGGGAACCTACAGGCAGCAAGATGTGGCCCCTGTAATGTACCTTGCATCCCGCATCCTATGTGATCAAGAGACATTCGACTGTGCAGTCACTTTGATTTACCATCCTGGATAGGATGGAATACCTTGGGATCTGTAGTCACGAGGGACCTCTGGGTTTTTAGGCACTGTGATTGGAGAGAGACCCAGATGTGAAGTCCCCATGTCTTATTCTTTAGGATAATACATTATAACCGTAACTGGAGAGAGACCAAGCCTGTCTCATGCTCCAGGATAAGAGAGAGACCCAGCTGTGTGACACAAAAGTCAATACGTATACACAAAAAAAAGTCCTGCGCTCACTCCCATCACTCCTGGACAGCAGCAATAACTTTAGTACACATACATACAATAAAAAAAACAAAGAAAAGAGTTATCCTACAGGAAATGACAACAGGCAAACAATGTATCCTCCACAATAACATTCAGTGTGATCATTAAATCAGATACACCGTAATACTCTCCTGTGTCACATGGTGTCAAATGGTCATTTAGCCTTTTTACAATCCTTTCAACGTGTCAGAATTTCTCTTACAGCATCCAGTACGAGAACATTTATAAACGGAGTTGTTTGTTTAAAACAAGGCCTGTGGGGTTGGGATTGATTTATATTCATAAGATGCTGATTTTTCTAAAACCAAGAGCATACGTGCATATCATCTGAGTCTCTTCAGAGAAGAACAATGCTGTTTAACTATTAATAATATTATATATTTATATATTTATATAATATATTTACATGTTATTCTTCTTATCTGAACCTGTCCCTCACAAGCACATCCCTCTTCCTCCTGGGGGCTCTCTTCAGCTCTTGGCTCTAACCGGCATGTGCAAGAAGTGCTGCTTTAGTGACCTTCCCACTGTACACACAACAACAACAACTGTACCCTTGTATGCCAATGACACCATCGTCTATGTAACTCAAGAGTAATTTAAAGCGATTGCAACATTGAATCTGACTTACAGAGGGATTGCTCAGAGACTGAAAGATGGATTTCTAAAAATGAGCCTTCTAGAATACTGGCAAACAGTATAAATGATTTTTGGAAAAAAGCCAAAATTGTTCATTAAAGAGACACTCCAGCCTCCTAAAGAACTTCTGTAGGCTAAACTACTTGATGGATTAACTGCATGTCCACTCTGGCTTATTTAATAAATATGACGATTTCAAGACAAATTCACGCTTTTATAAATCCTTTTGAAAGCTGCGAGTGTTTAGAACCGTATTTGAAAATGGAAGTGAGTGCTTCCTATAGATAAGTATTGTTGGCAGATCAAGGTGATTGTTACGCATGTATACTGTGCCCCAACGTTACTCTATGAGAAGCATTTAATTGGACAAAAGTCATCAGTAAAGTCACAGGAGGAGAAAAAGAGCTGCAGTGAGGAAACTCACCCAGTATGGAAATAAAGGCACATTTACTAGACTTTAATCCTTCCAATGCTGAAAAGGTGGTCCAGTGGTCTAAACAAAAATAGGAACCCTGAAATTAAATTAAAAAAAAATACAATAACATATATATATATTTCTTGATAACTAGAATGTTATCCTTCAAACTAATTAATTTTTCTAATTAATCATACGAACAAAGTTTGACTGTAACTTGGGCACAGTCAGTTTTTATAAATATCTTTTATATGTAATATATGTTTATGTAATTCTATGCAACCAGATCCCAATCTGTCATTCAACTTACATAATGGAAAACTGTCCTTCGTACTCTGTCCTGAACTTGGTGCCTTGTACTGTAGATCCTGAACTTGGCAATTTGTACCGTGGATCCTGAACTTGGCGTGTAGTTATATAGATCGTGAACTTGGCACTTTGTACCGTGGATCCTGAGGCGTGTTGTACTGTAGATCCTGAACTTGACGTGTTGTACCGTAGATCCTGAACTTGGCATGTTGTACTGTTGTAGATCCTGAACTTGGCGTGTTGTACCATAGATCCTGAACTTGGCATGTTGTACAGTAGATCCTGAACTTGGCACTTTGTACCGTGGATCCTGAGGTGTGTTGTACTGTAGATCCTGAACTTGGCATGTTGTACTGTAGATCCTGAACTTGGCGTGTTGTACTGTAGATCCTGAACCTGGCATGTTGTACTGTAGATCCTGAACTTGGCGTGTTGTACTGTAGATCCTGAACTTGGCGTGTTGTACTGTAGATCTTGAACTTGGCGTGTTGTACTGTAGATCCTGAACTTGGCGTGTTGTACCATAGATCCTGAACTTGGCGTGTTGTACCATAGATCCTGAACTTGGCGTGTTGTACTGTAGATCTTGAACTTGGCGTGTTGTACCATAGATCCTGAACTTGGCGTGTTGTACTGTAGATCTTGAACTTGGCGTGTTGTACCATAGATCCTGAACTTGGCGTGTTGTACTGTAGATCTTGAACTTGGCGTGTTGTACCATAGATCCTGAACTTGGCGTGTTGTACTGTAGATCTTGAACTTGGCGTGTTGTACCATAGATCCTGAACTTGGCGTGTTGTACTGTAGATCTTGAACTTGGCGTGTTGTACCATAGATCCTGAACTTGGCGTGTTGTACTGTAGATCTTGAACTTGGCGTGTTGTACCATAGATCCTGAACTTGGCGTGTTGTACTGTAGATCTTGAACTTGGCGTGTTGTACCATAGATCCTGAACTTGGCGTGTTGTACCATAGATCCTGAACTTGGCGTGTTGTACCATAGATCCTGAACTTGGCGCTTTGTACCGTAAATCTTTGTAGATCTTCACATTAGTAAATGGTTTGAGCAGCTGATGTCAATTCCAGTCATGGACTATAGGGATGTATTATAGGCCTCTGTCCTAAAAAACCATCTCATAAGACTCAGCACTCTGTAATATGAGGTCTATAGTGCGGAATCATCAATCTGTCCAAGGCTTATTTCAGAAGTACAACATGTTGTGATCCATTTGTATTGATTTTATTTTGCTGTATTCACAGTATTTGTTTGCTGTGACCACGTGAGACTTGGCTGAGAATTCACTCCCTTCTGATAGACAGACGGCAGTCCTACTCTCAGTGGAAAGGTTGTGTCCACTCAAGCACTTTTGCACAATATAGGGTTTATTACTGCTATGCCATTTTACTTGTGAGCGTTTGTCTGTATGTTATTGAGTGTTTTATTGTAATATTTAGACAAACTGTACTATTATTGTTCTTTTTCTATTACACATATTTTATTCTTGAATATCTATGAATAAATTGAATTTATAGTCCCTCTCACTGTTATTTACACGTATAGGAAGACATATTTCACAATTCTAAGCTGCTGAGGGGATCAGCTCAATAAATTCACATTTATTTAACCCACTTTAGATAGACTGTAAGATATTCCATACAGAACATATTCCCCTTCACTGGTGTTTGTGTTCAGTAAGTTATAATGGTTTGATTTCATATAAAATAAAGAGTATGTCGTATGGTTTACAGAGTGATAAATTCCTTTGCAAATTAACCTGCAGGATTCAGCGCACTAAAAAAATCCATGTGATAACCCTTTACACGGCTTATCTACAATAGCAATTCCACTTGATAGCTCAGTTAGTTAATGCACCTCTGGCCAGGCCATATCTCAGGTCGAAGCCAAACACAGAGATTCTCACGGCAGAGCTGCCTTCACCAATAATGTGATGGCCAAGCTCTTAGATACAGAACTCATAGGGGGAGGATCTTGAGTAGGGCTCACAGACTCTTTCCATTGGCTACTCTAGTTCTCCAATCAGTGGTGAGATGAAGGAGCCAATGTGATGGCTAGTTGACACAACATAATTTTATACACAACTAGCAGCGTTCATAAAGTCAGCTAGTTAGTGACCAGCTCAGTGTTTACTGACTAGAAGTCTGGTTTGCTGGTTTGACCCAGTCTGCGCTATAGTGCTCTTTAAATATAAATGTTCTGCCGCGTCTCGAGCACCTAGCAGACACATAACAGCCGAAGTTGTGAAGTTATTATATCGTAACAAGGTTATGCACACATTTTTGTATATTGTTTCCAATGATTTACTATTATTCCTATATTCATTTATTTATTTAAATTGTACATTGAATTTTTCGATATACAAAGAGCTATAACAGAAATTCTTTATTGGACAAGCACAATATGATCCAACAAAACCCTTCAGTTTTCGAACATATGTCCAATCTATGTTTAAATGAACAAAAAAAATTATAAAAGAAAGCACAAAAAGAAAAACTGGGAAGTGAAGTGAGCCAAGCCTGGACATGTAATTGTAACAAGTGTGTCTAAGTGGAGCTGTGTCTGGGGGCCATGGAACTTGTTTTATTATATTGAACATGACCACTGTACATGTAGCATGCCCTTTACTTAGTTATGGACTGCAATTTGTCTGAACCTGCGCCAATTGGGTGATCGTACGAATCCCCGAAATGTAGCCGAATTACAAACCAAACGAATCGTGCAATGGCCGAGCATGTTCGTTTTATTTGAGATCTTCTATTCCACCTGTGGTGCCAGAGAAAGAGATGGTTCATGGGGGAAAAAAAATGATTGATGGCTTGGGCACAATCACCAAACACTCAATTTATTCACATATCAAGTGAGAAGTGAGCATTTGAGGGAAAATAGAAGGAGTAAAAACAATGTATATTTATATATTATATTATTTAATAATATCTTGGATGCCTGGCACTGGTCAAGGTCAACATGACACTAAGAGCCTTCATAAAAAACTTGATGGGCAAATGGAGACCACATCTAGAAGCCAGTTTCAGGACAATTACACAAATGAATATAAAATGTGCCATATCCAAGGTGATGCGCTATCCCGATGTTGTTCTGCATAGACACCCACCCCCTCAGTCAGTCATCATGAAGAATGGAGTGGTACATTTGTTGGGTGCAAGATGTTAGCAGGGACAGCACACACTGAGAGCCACAACCAAGCTGCTGGGATTGTGTACTAGAAAATCTCAACACAATATAGGCTGGACCTGCCTTATCTAGATGGGAGATACCACAAAGGCTAGTTGAGAATGACAGTCCTGTGGGACTTCCAGATCTGGACAAGCAAGTACTGGCCAACCAACTTGACATCGTGGTGATATAGAAAGAACAGAAGACTGCAGTGGTGGTGGATGTATGGTGCAATTCCTAGTGATCATACCATCAAGAATCAAATAATGTAACCTGATATAGCTATCAAATAAACTATAGCAAACCTAGGACCATTTGGATATACAATATGTTGTATTTTTCCTCATCCTTTTAGATTGTAATCTTGTCTGTGCAAAGCTCTCTTCACCTTCTCTTTTTGCATGTCAAACGTGTTATGTGAGTATTTATTGTTTGTCTTTTTTACTTATTATACAGTACTACAGTATATGCTGGCGCTATATAATGTAATCCGCTTCTGAGTGGTCTTACATGCTCCCAACTTGCCCCATTATAGTCTATAAAGAAAGCGGCGGCAAGGATCATCTTCCTGTACGCCCGCACCTCCCACACCTCCCCCTTTGTCAGTCCCTCCATTGGCTTCCCGTAAGATATAGGACTCAATTTAAGATCCTGATACTTGCTTACAAATCTCTACACAATGCTGCTCCCACCTACTTATTCTCATTAATACACAAATATGTCCCGTCTAGGGCCCTACACTCTACCGGAGACCTAAATCTTACCATGTACTCCTACCTCTGATTCTCACTATGAAGAAATTACAGTGGTATTTTGGGTATTTGACCTTTTTTCATTCGGTAGCTATAACTACCAAACACCGACCACCCCCCTGGCTCATTATCTTCAAAGAGAACAGTCAATTAATTGCTATCCCTGTGTGGCAGTTGTTTGTATAGTCGAACACCACGTGCAGGAGAAAATGGTGGCCATCTTGTTTGCACAAAAGGAGGCAAGGGGACTTGGTCGTCGAGTGTCTGGAACTAAAATTGGAAATTGTATTTATTTCCTTGGATTATTTTATGCTGTTCCTGTTACCCAGTGGAGATACTGTGGATTATACTACCTCTCCGCTACACTGAGCATGGCCTCAATCCCTCTGTTACTGTGTCACTATACCCCACTCCCTCTAGCATGTAAACTCACTGAGCAGGCCCTCAATCCCTCTGTTACTGTGTCACTATACCCCACTCCCTCTAACATGTAAACTCACTGAGCAGGGCCCTCAATCCCTCTGTTACTGTCACTATACCCCACTCCCTCTAACATGTAAACCTCACTGAGCAGGCCCTCAATTCCTCTGTTACTGTGTCACTATACCCCACTCCCTCTAACATGTAAACTCACTGAGCAGGCCCTCAATCCCTCTGTTACTGTGTCACTATACCCCACTCCCTCTAACATGTAAACTCACTGAGCAGGGCCCTCAATCCCTCTGTTACTGTGTCACTATACCCCACTCCCTCTAACATGTAAACTCACTGAGCAGGCCCTCAATCCCTCTGTTACTGTGTCACTATACCCCACTCCCTCTAACATGTAAACTCACTGAGCAGGCCCCTCAATCCCTCTGTTACTGTGTCACTATACCCCACTCCCTCTAACATCTAAACTCACGGAGCAGGGCCCCCAATCCTCTGTTACTGTGTCACTATACCCCACTCCCTCTAACATGTAAACTCACTGAGCAGGGCCTCAATCCCTCTTGTTACTGTGTCACTATACCCCACCTCCCTCTAACATGTAAACTCACCGAGCAGGCCCCTCAACTCTCTTGTTACTAAAAGTCACTATACCCCACTCCCTCTAACATGTAAACTCACTGAGTAGGGCCTCAATCCCTCTGTTACTGTGTCACTATACCCCACTCCCTCTAACATGTAAACTCACTGAGCAGGGCCTCAATCCCTCTGTTACTGTGTCACTATACCGCACTCCCTCTAACATGTAAACTCACTGAGCAGGGCCCTCAATCCCTCTGTTACTGTGTCACTATACCCCACTCCCTGTAACATGTAAACTCAATGAGCAGGGCCCTCAACCCCTCTGTTACTGTCACAATACCCCACTCCCTCTAACATGTAAACTCACTGAGCAGGGCCCTCAATCCCTCTGTTACTGTGTCACTATACCCCACTCCCACATGTAAACTCACTGAGCAGGCCCTCAATCCCTCTGTTACTGTGTCACTATACCCCACTCCCTCTAACATGTAAACTCACTGAGCAGGGCCCTCAATCCCTCTGTTACTGTGTCACAATACCCCACTCCCTCTAACATATAAACTCACTGAGCAGGCCCTCAATCCCTCTTTTACTGTCACTATACCCCACTCCCTCTAACATGTAAGCTCAGTGAGCAGGGCCCTCAATCCCTCTGTTACTGTGTCACTATACCCCACTCCCTCTAACATGTAAACTCACTGAGCAGGGCCCTCAATCCTCTGTTACTGTGTGTCACTATACCCCACCTCCCAACATGTAAACCTCACTGAGCAGGGCCCTCAATCCCTCTGTTACTGTGTCACTATACCCCACCCCCAACATGTAAACTCACTGAAAGCAGGCCCCCAACTCTCTGTTACTGTGTCACTATGCCCCACTCCCTCTAACATGTAAGCTCACTGAGCAGGGCCCTCAATCTCTCTGTTACTGTCACTGTACCCCACTCCCTCTAACATGTAAACTCACTGAGCAGGCCCTCAATCCCTCTGTTACTGTGTCACTATACCCCCCTCCCTCTAACCTGTAAACTCACTGAGCAGGGCCCTCAATCCCTCTGTTACTGTGTCACTATACCCCACTCCCTCTAACATGTAAACTCACTGAGCAGGGCCCACAATCCCTCTGTTACTGTGTCACTATACCCCACTCCCTCTAACATGTTAACTCACTGAGCAGGCCCTCAATCCCTGTTACTGTGTCACTATACCCCACTCCCTCTAACATGTAAACTCACTGAGCAGGGCCCTCAATCCCTCTGTTACTGTGTCACTATACCCCCACTCCCTCTAGCATGTAAACTCACTGAGCAGGCCCTCAATCCCTCTGTTACTGTGTCACTATACCCCACTCCCTCTAATATGTAAACTCACTGAGCAGGCCCTCAATCCCTCTGTTACTGTGTCACTATACCCCACTCCCTCTAACATGTAAACTCACTGAGCAGGCCCTCAATCCCTCTGTTACTGTGTCACTATACCCCACTCCCACTAACATGTAAACTCACTGAGCAGGCTCTCAATCCCTCTGTTACTGTCATTATACCCCACTCCCTCTAACATGTAAACTCACTGAGTAGGCCCTAACTCCTGGAAAGCATTGTCACTATACCTCTACTCCCAATATGTAAACTCACTGAGCAGGGCTCCCACCTCTGTTACTGTGTCACTATACCCCACTCCCAACATGTAAACTCACTGAGCAGGCCCCCTAATCCCTCTGTTACTGTGTCACTATACCCCTACTCTCTGTGCATGTAAACTCACTTGAGTAGCCTCAATCCTCTGTTACTGTGTCACTATACCCCACTCCCTCTAGCATGTAAGCTCACTGAGCAGGGCCCTCAATCCCTCTGTTACTGTGTCACTATACCCCACTCCCTCTAACATGTAAACTCACTGAGCAGGCCCTCAATCCTCTGTTACTGTGTCACTATACCCCACTCCCTCTAACATGTAAACTCACTGAGCAGGGCCCTCAATCCCTGTGTTACTGTGTCACTATACCCCACTCCCTCTAACTCACTGAGCAGGCCCTAAATCCCTCTGTTATGGTGTCACTATACCCCACTCCTTCTAGCATGTAAACTCACTGAGCGGGGCCCTCAAACCCCTCTGTTACTGTCACTATACCTCACTCCCAATATAAACCCACCTGAGTAGGTCTCTCAATCCCTCTGTTACTGTCACTATACCCCACTCCCTCTAACATGTAAGCTCACTGAGCAGGGCCCTCAATCCCTCTGTTACTGTCACTATACCTCACTCCTTCTAACATGTAAACTCACTGAGCAGTCCATCAATCCCTCTGTTACTGTGTCACTATACCCCGCTCCCTCTAACATGTAAGCTCACTGAGCAGGGCCCCCAATCCCTCTGTTACTGTCACTATACCTCACTCCTTCTAACATGTAAACTCACTGAGCAGTCCATCAATCCCTCTGTTACTGTGTCACTATGGCCCCACTTCTCTAAATATGTAAGTCACAATGAGCAGGCCCCAAATCCCTCTGTTACTGTGTCACTATACCCCCACTCCCCAACATGTAAACTCACTGGAGTAGCCCTCACCCTCTCTTTCTGTGTCACTATACCCCACTCCCTCTAACATGTAAACTCACTGAGCAGGGCCCTCAATCCCTCTGTTACTGTGTCACTATACCCCACTCCCTCTAGCATGTAAACTCACTGGGCAGGCCCTCAATCCCTCTGTTACTGTGTCACTATACCCCACTCCCTCTAACATGTAAACTCACTGAGCAGGCCCTCAATCCCTCTGTTACTGTGTCACTATACCCCACTCCCTCTAACATGTAAACTCACTGAGCAGGCCCTCAATCCCTCTGTTACTATGTCACTATACCCCACTCCCTCTAACATGTAAACTCACTGAGCAGGCCCTCAATCCCTCTGTTACTGTGTCACTATACCCCACTCCCTCTAACATGTAAACTCACTGAGCAGGCCCTCAATCCCTCTGTTACTGTGTCACTATACCCCACTCCCTCTAGCATGTAAACTCACTGAGCAGGCCCTCAATCCCTCTGTTACTGTGTCACTATACCCCACTCCCTCTAGCATGTAAACTCACTGAGCAGGCCCTCAATCCCTCTGTTACTGTGTCACTGTACCCCACTCCCTCTAGCATGTAAACTCACTGAGCAGGGCCCTCAATCCCTCTGTTACTGTGTCACTATACCCCACTCCCTCTAGCATGTAAACTCACTGAGCAGGGCCCTCAATTCCTCTGTTACTGTACCCCACTCCCTCTAGCATATAAACTCACTGAGCAGGGCCATCAATCCCTCTGTTACTGTGTCACTATACCCCACTCCCTCTAACATCTAAGCTCACCGAGCAGGGCCCTCAATCCCTCTGTTACTGTGTCACTATACCAACCCCCTCTAACATGTAAGCTCATTGAGCATGGCCCTCAATCCCTCAGTTACTGTGTCACTATACCCCACTCCCCCTAGCATGTAAGCTCATTGAACAGGGCCCTCCATCCCTCTGTTACTGTGTCACTATACCCCACTCCCCCTAGCATGTAAACTCACTGAGCAGGGCCCTCCATCCCTCTGTTACTGTGTCACTATACCCCACTCCCTCTAACATGCAAGCTCACTGAGCAGGGCCCTCAATCCCTCTGTTACTGTGTCACTATACCCCACTCCCTCTAACATGTAAACTTACTGAGCAGGCCCTCAATCCCTCTGTTACTGTGTCACTATACCAACTCCCTCTAACATGTAAGCTCACTGAGCATGGCCTTCATAGGCGTGTGCCGGGTGTGCCTGGGCACACCCTAATCCTTGCGGGACGCCTATTTATTAAGACCGGCAGGGGAGATCTCAGGATCCCCACGGCAGCATGGAGGGAGGCAGGAGAGGACCCGGGGAGCTCAACCAGCAGCTCCGCCGGGTTCCTCTCGGGATGTCGGAGCGTCGCAGCAACGCGCAGATCTCGCGAGAGTGAGCTCTAGCCCCACAGGGGCTAGAGTTCACTCTCCTCTGGACCACTAGGGAAAGCAGCAGCACGATCCCCCCCCCCCTACATAAGGTAAGAAGGGAGGGGGGATATTAAGTAATGTACCCCCACATTCACCCACACACCCACACCCAGACAAACACACAGCACCCTAACAAACACATACACACACAGGACCCTAACAGCACCCTCACTCACACACACACATACAGCAGTGTACACACACACGTCATGTGTTTGTGCTTTAGGGTGCACACCCTAATGCAATAGGCTGTGCACGCCTATGATGGCCTTCAATCCTTCTGTTACTGTGTCACTATACCCCACTCCCTCTAACATGTAAGCTCACTGAGCAGGGCCCTCAATCCCTCTGTTACTGTGCCACTATACCCCACTCCCTCTAACATGTAAACTCACTGAGCAGGGCCCTCAATCCCTCTGTTACTGTGTCATTATACCCCACTCCCTCTAACATGTAAACTCACTGAGCAGGGCCCTCAATCCCTCTGTAACTGTGTCACTATACCCCACTCCCTCTAACATGTAAACTCACTGAGCAGGGCCTTCAATCCCTCTGTTACTGTCACTATACCCCACTCCCTCTAACATGTAAACTCACTGAGCAGGCCCTCAATCCCTCTGTTACTGTGTCACTATACCCCACTCCCTCTAACATGTAAACTCACTGAGCAGGGCCCTCAATCCCTCTGTTACTGTGTCACTATACCCCACTCCCTCTAATATGTAAACTCACTGAGCAGGACCCTCAATCCCTCTGTTACTGTGTCAATATACCCCACTCCCCCTAGCATGTAAACTCACTGAGCAGGGCCTCAATCCCTCTGGAACCCAGTGTATGTCTTATTTTTGCCAATTTTTCCTCCCTCCTCATTCCCCAACTCCCCCAACTCCCCTTTAACCCACCCTACGTGAACTGCCTTCACACCCCTCCTTATTGTTCTTCCTTTCTATTGTCCCATAAAGCTTCCTCTCCTGGACTATCTGCTCTCTTTAAATATCTTGGGGGGGAAAAAAACAACAACAAACTGTAAAAATTTGCACTTTGAATATTTTAATGGTTTCATTAAAATCCATGTGAAGTTGCATATCGCGCTTTATATTGCTAGCTGTATCAATGTATTACCTGAACGCATGGACACTGTTAATGTAAAGTAGAGGGTAAAAACATATAACCAGAGGGTGAGTCACGTCTGACCTCAAAACATTAGTCAACTAAAAAAGCCACTTTTTAATTTATTTATTTTTTTATTTTTTTTATTGTTCGCATCCATGGTTTAGGATGTCATCAGGAAGATGACAGGTTTGGAGTGTTGATTTAAGATCTAGTCGATTTTAATGGTTACAATTGCCACACATTTTGTCTTCTACTTTTAGAATGTCTGCTAGAAACCTATTCTTCATCACTTTATTTTATTTATAGCAATAGTTGATGCACAGTCTTTATCACGAACAAATATCATTTCACATGATCGCTATTTGCAAATCTTACAACTGGAATATATATTTCTTTATTTAAATAAGGCTGAATCATCACAGTTAAATGCTAAATCTGTCTAAACAATGCAAATATTCTTGTACAGAAACCTACAACTTCATGCAGAGATTCTCCCTGAGCAAGAGATATAGTGTATTTGTGAATCTTATTAAAGGCTTTTCCAGTGCTGAATATTCGAACGTGTGTGTGTGTGTGTGTGTGTATGTATTGCCATTTTTTTACATTTATTTTTTTTTTTTTAATCATTTTGATACATTTATGTAGTGGATGGGAGGTGTGAGGTATTTACTTCTGGACTCTCTATTGCCTATGCCTCTAGTGCAATGATGGTGAACCTATGGCACGCGTGCCAAAGGTGGCACGCCGGGTCCTTTCTGTGGGCACGCGGCCATAGGTTCGCCATCAATGCAGAGTAGGCACCTGCCTGCCCAAAACGGCAGGCGCCTACTCTGCTTCTGTGAAGCAGCTCCCCTGTCCTCCCGTGAGCAAGCTGTGTGGAGCACCCAGGGATGGCTGTAACCCTCCCTCCCCCTCCCTCCCCCCTTTATTAAAGGTAAGCAGGAGGGACGGGGGATACAGATTTTGCATAACTTTTTTTTTTTTTTAACCACCCCAACACACACAGCACCCCTACCCCAAACACACACACACAGCACCCCTACCCCCAACATACACACAGCACCCCCAACACACAGCAACTCCCCACCCCAACACACACACAGCACCCCCACCCACAGAGGCACCCCACCCACACAGAGCACCCTCCCACACACACACACACAGCACCCCCAACACACACACACACAGCAACCCCAACACACACAGCACCCCTCCACACAGAAAGCACCCCCACCCACACAGAGCAACCCTCCCACAACACACAGCACCCAACACATAGCACCCCACCCCCACAACACACACACACACACACACCACCCCTACCCCCCACACAACCCCCCCACCCCCCACACAACACCCCCACACGCACACACCCCCACGCGTGTGTACTCAGCAGTCTGTGTGTGTGTGTACTCAGCAGTCTGTGTGTGTGTGTACTCAGCAGTCTGTGTGTGTGTGTACTCAGCAGTCTCTGTGTGTGTGTACTCAGCAGTCTCTGTGTGTGTGTACGCGTACTCAGCAGTCTGTGTGTGTATGTATTGCATTTGTTGGAGATACTAATAAATATAAGCTTAAATTGATCTATTTATATCCTTATTTAAAATTTGTATCATTGAACTCTGTTGTGTTCGTCTTTTAAAACAAAAGTTGTTAATTAGTTCGGACAACTGTACGAGTTGTTTTTTCTAAATTTAAACATCAGTATTCAGGTTTAATTGCTGTGTTGGCACTTTGAGGAAAGTTGGCATGTATTGCGGTTTGGGCACTCGGGCTCAAAAAGGTTTG